TTTTTTTTTTTTTTTTTTTTTTTTCCCTTTCCATGACAGAGAAGTTGTACATATCCTTAACAGCAGATCCAGTAAATTCAGTCATTTTCTTAGAGCTCCACTGACGACAGGCCCAACTCTGGGCCTTCTGTGTATGTAAGCAACACTCACTGTTGGAGCAGTACTCAGAAAAGTCTCTTGCTTCTAAACAGCTTTCAGTAAAGGGTTCAGGAACATTTTACACACACAGGATTTACACTCCTGTGGCTTATTATCAGTTTTGATTTTGCAACAGTAATATCCCAAACACCTAGCAACACTGTGGACACTAAGACATCTTTCTGTATTTTCTCTGGCCTCCTGATTTCCTTCATTGCCCAAAATGATAAATACATATTTACTGGGGAAAAATAAACCCAAAACTAGAAAACAACTTCAAAATCCAATGGATAGGAGCAACCTTGTTCTCAGCTGATGCCAAAATGCATTTTATACAAAGGTGTAGAACAGAGCTGAATTAGTCTTCAATTTTCCGGATCAGTGCTACCCCCCACCACTTCCTCGCAGAGGAATGCTTTGCAGACGTGGCACTGTACAAAGCCCCTCGACTCTGCACTAACACTGGTCCCCGGCGCAGCAGATCCATTTCACAGGTAGGCACGGCACCTCCTACCGGAGGCTCCGAGGGTAGGGCAAAACAGGAACGACGCGCACCCTGCGGCTGATTTAGCACGAGGTGTGATCCCGAGAAGGGATGCGTCCGCTCGGAGAGGCAGCCCCGGCTGCGTGTCCATCCAGCCCGGCTGCGTGTCCATGCATCCCGGCGGGGCCGGGGCCGGCGACTCGCGTTACGCGGGAGCCCTCGGGAGCAAGGCGCCGCGGCGGGGCGGTGCGGGGCTGCCGCGGGCTGCGCCCAGCGCACGGCCCCGGCCCGCCCCGCAGCCCGCTGCGCCCTCCGCCAGCGGCGCCGCGGGCTCGGGAGCGGCCCCGCCCCGGCCCGGCCCGCCCCGTCGGCAGCTCATTGATGAGCCGCGGGCCTTTGAGGAAAGGGCGAGTGTGCCGAAACCGCTGCAAAGCCATGATTTTTCAAGCAGCAGCGCAGCCTGGGAACTTTGCATGTTTCACCATTTTTCACGTCCTGACTCATTTCTGTATCAAAAAATGTGTTCTCTGGAGCTCATCGGACACCCACCGCCCCTCCCGCCGCCGCGGCGGCAGGCAGCATCCACGCCGGGCGGCAGCAAGGGGAACTATAGCAGAAATCCCCTGCGGGCAGGCAACCGCAGTCCAGCCCCGGGCCCCTCCGAGTTCCCTTATTGCCAGCGGGGGTTGCTTGCCCCCGAGGGCTGCAGCCGCTGCAGTCCGCACCACGCAGGGAGCGGAGCAGGTGCACCCGCCGAGGCCCACCCTCCCCCCGTCGGCGGGAGGCACCTGCGTGGGCCGGGGGTCGGTCGCGGGGTCTCGCCCGAGAGTTCTCGCCCCACGGCGAGCCTCACCTTCCCCACCCGCCGTGCACGGCGGAGAGGGGCTGCCCCCCGCCCCGACAGCTCCATCGGCGACAGCCGTAGGGCACGGGGGGGCCGCGGCCGCGCCGTCGAGGGCCCGCGGCGCGGGAGCGGCGGCGGCGCTGGCGCGGGTGGCTCCCGCCGCTGCCGCGCGGGATGGGCGGGGCGGGAGGGCCCCGCGGGGCGCGCGGCGCCGGTGCGCCCGCCCCGCGCCCCGCCGCAGCGGCACGGGCCCGCCAGGCGCCTGCGCACTGCAGGGGCGCCAGATTTGGCGGGAGGGGGAGTGTCCAAGGGCCCTTTGTTTGATGGCATCTCTGTTTACAGAGTTTACTCTTTAATCTCAACCTGTTTCCTCCTCCTCCTCCCGCGGCTCCTCGGCACTCCCGTGCGCGGCGGCGGAGCGCCCAGGCGCAGCCCGGCAGCAGGGCGCGGCGGCGGGCGCGGGCTCGGTCTCCCCCGTCCTCCTCCCCCAGCGGCCGGTGCGAGGATGTCCCGGAGACCCCGGCACAGGTAACCCGCTGTCTGCGGGCGGCGGACGGCCGGCTGCGCTCCGCGCCTGTCAGACGGGGCGCGGGACGGGAGAGAGGGAAAGCGGCAGCAGGCAACCGGCTCGCCCGGCGGACGGGCGGGCAGTCCCCCGTTCTCCGTGCACCTGGTCTACTCCGCCCCCGGAGCCGAGGCGCTCCCCTCCTCCGGAGGCGCCGGGAGAGCTGCAGCCCGGCGGGACGCGCCGCGGAGCCCCGGTGCCGGGGCGCTCGGGCCCCGCGCTGCACGCCTGCCGGGGGCCAGTGCTCGCCGCCCGCAGGAGCCAGCGCGGAGCCCGACGGAGCTGCGCGCTCCGCAGCCGCGAGGCGGGACAATGTCTGGCGGGCTCGGCGGCGGCAGGTAGCGCGTCCTTGTCCCATTCATTCATTCATTCCCGGCCGGCTGAGGCGACAGGTGGGCAGCGGGTGCGGGGACTCGGTTCGCTCCCTCGACTTTTTGTTTCCTTTATTCGTGCGGCCCTTTCGCCCTTGGAAGCGCGACTCTGGCCTGAGTGGCTTAGCTTTTTCCAGGTACACGCCACTTGGCACACGCAGGAGCGCGGCAGCGCGGGCGGGGGGCTGCGAGTCCGACGGAGCTCTCGGCCGCAGCTGTCACCCGTGGCCGCCAGCCTGCCGCGCACCCGGGCCAAGGCGATCCCTGCCACGCCGCGCAGGGGCCGGGGGCGGCGGTGTCCCGGGGGCGGCGGTGCCCCTGGGGCAGTGGTGCCCCGGAGACGGTGGACTGGACCGGACAGGGCGATAGCGCCGCGTGGCCGCGTCCGTGGCCCCGCTGCCGCGCGGGCGCACAGAGCGGAGTTGTTGTCTAATTAGCCAGGGACGGCGGGTCGGACACGTGGAGGCTTTTTTCTCTTTGCAGCCTGGCATCCTCCCCTCCTCCCCTCCCCTTTGGCTGGCTGTGACAGGGGAAGAGGTCGCAGCCCTGCCTGTCGCTTCCCGGGCGCCGGTCCTGTCCGGTGGGACTGGGGGCTTGGTGGGTTCTTTCTAAGGAAGAGGGGTTTGCGGTGCGGAAGGAGGCGGCGAGCCGCTGGGCGAGCGCCGGGCTGTACTTTCAGTGTCAGAGCGGGGCTGTCGCTTGAGCTGGCGGTGAATCACCCGGCCCGTTTCTCCCGAAAGAGAGGGACAGCTACCGCTGTCTCGTGGGCGCCTCCCGCAGGGACACGTCCGCCGCTCGGGACTGGGAGGCCGGGGCGGCACGGCGCGGTGTCCGCCTGATCCGGCGGGCGCGGCGCCGGCGGGCGCGGGCTCTGCCCCGCGGGGCTGGTGCCCGAATTCCTTCAATCACGGTAACAGCAGCGAGTCATTTCCTCTACACCTCCTTCTTTTTTTTTTTTTTTTTTTCCCCTCCCTTTTTTTTTTTTTTTTTTTTTTTTTTCCCCGTGTATCGTTGCACAAGCCGGTTGCCTCGGCGAACAGCGCGGCGCTGATGGGGGGCCGGGGGACTCCCGCTGTCCCGGCCGGGCGGAGCGCCGTGCCGTGCCGTGCCGAGCCGCTTGGGGGGAGGCTTCAGGGCTGCAGCCGGAGGTGCAAAATAAAGTTTTAGAGCACCGCTGAAGGCCAAGTTGACTGAAAAAACAGCCGAGAGTCCCGGAATCCCCGGACACTTTTCTCCTGCTGGAGAGCGCAGGCAGTACAGTGGAGTTTGCTCAGTTCTGCGGTGCCAGCGAGGCCCCAGTCGTTTAAATAACCCTGTTACAGAACTGGCCCCACACTGAAGTCCTTAAACGTGTTGGCCGCTGATGCTGTGCTGCTGCTGCTGCAGAGCGGGGTTTCCCTGCGGCGCCCGGCCCGCACCGCCGCGCAGGAAGCGCCGCGGATGGATGCGGTCCTGCCGGTTGCCTTCTACGGAAAACTCATTTTCAAACTGCTACTTGGAAACTGTGCCACAAAAACTTCCTTTGCCATATGGGCAGCGGCGCAGCTGTCTGTGTGTGTCACTGAGAAAAGTGAATCTGCTTTGAGCGGCGGCTGGGGACCGGAGCCGCGCTGGTGGCAGCTGGAGCGTGGGAGCTTTTGCTCAAGCACGGGAGGCTCCAGCTGCCAACGAGGGGTGCGTGTGAAGTGGGAGCTTCCATCGGGGCTTACTCCCAGAGGTTCCGGGGTCTGGGAAATAGGGAGCGAATCGTGGGGCTGCAGGACTGCGGCGCGATGGGCACGAGTTGAGGGTAGTGGCGATGGGCTGGGTGGGTGAGTCAGGGGCACCCGGCAGAGGCTGCAGGATGACCACACACATCACAGCAGGCTGTGGAAAACTTTTTACATGTAGCATGTAAGCATGTTCTTTCATTACACAGGCCAGAAAACTGTGTGGAAGATGTAGGGTGTGATTAGTCCAGTACTTTAAAGAATTATGTTCAGTAGCTTGCCTTTTGGAGGTGTTCACATCTTGACAGTCATGGTGCTTCACTGCAACTTAATTGAAAGTCATCTCCTGAAAACAGGTTAACAGCATAAACAGTGCCTGTTAACTTTATTACAAAATAACTTTATTTTAATGTCTTAGTCATACTTTTAACTACCATACCATACCATACCATACCATACCATACCATACCATACCAACCATACCATACCATCAGATATATCACAGTTTTTAATCTTAATGACACTGACTCCTTTCTAACACTCATGGCTAGCATCTTTTAGCTGAAGTATCAGAACTGCTGCTCATACCTTAAAAGTTAGAGGTAAAATACTGTCCACCAGAAAGGTACATCTTGTTGCAAAACACTCTCTTTTAGATTTAGTCAGCTAGGTAGAGCAAGTGCTGTTTGTGAAGAGTCATGGAGTCCTTTTTACCCATAGATAGCCTCTGGGGAAATCCCTTAGTCATGAATTAGGTGAGCAAAGTATTTCAAAAACAGTATGAGGGATTTAGAAATACAGTAGAGGTAATAAAGTTATAGAAATGGAGAATATAGAAGGGTTCATTCATTTGTTGGTTGCAGGATATTAAACTTGTCCTCAGTCCTTATCTGTCCAAACCCATAAATGGAGGGCATATTTTATATTAGAGCTTATTGCATGTTAATGCTGCCACTTACTGTCTTTGCTTATTGTAAAAGCTTGTGCCTTCTCATATAGGGCCCGTAAACATTTTCTCAGACAAGGTTATTGTTTAGCTTTTTGTTTTGCTACACGGTCAGTTTTATTTTGGAGCAGTAGAACAATCTGCTGTATTAAAGAACACAAAAGCACTAATGTTTTTCAGAATGTATGGCACGAGTTAAAGATCTTAAACATGTACTCACATACTGGACACAGCCTCTAGTTGTCTTTATTGTCCCAAACATTGTATTTTAATTTGAAACCTTCATTGGTTGAAAGTTTGCCAAATGTGTAATTCACCACTGATCTAACATTAGGAGCAGGTCTAAACATGCACAGTAATACGAAGGTTGCCAGCCCTTTGCCGGTATCTGTGGATACCAAAAACAGCAGAACCAGTTCAGAATACTAGAACAACAGAATGCAGAACAAAATCTTGTTGTGCAAGTTTTAAAACTTTTATCTGTGTAACCTTTGTAAGGATTGTAGCGGGGGGCTTTTTGCGTTTTGTAATTAAGTAGCTCAAGTCCTCATGCTCCACTCTGTCTCACTGTGTTTCCTTTTGCAGTATATATAGTAGTGATGATGATGAAGAAGATGTTGAGGTGTATGATCACGACTATGATGGTCTGCTTCCTAAGACTGGAAAACGTCACCTAGGAAAAACCAGGTGGACTCGTGAAGAGGTAAATCCAAGTTCATTCTTCTCCTGCATGTATAAAGATAAGAGAGAGCATGGATCACATTCTTCTCCAAGTTGCTTCATGTTCTTCACCATATTGCTAATCTGCAAACTTACTTCAGTGACAGTACCATATCTGAGGACAACATTTTTGACCCACTAGCTACATTCAGTGTTTTATTTAACTTTGAGCATAGTTCTTAACTTTTAAATAAAATATATAAACACAACCTTTTAATTTCCACCATGCTCTGTGTTAAAGTATGTGATGTGTGAAACTGTAATCCCTGTTGGAGAAGCAGATTCCAAATCACCTGTAGCAGTGCTTTGTTGTTGCTACTTGCCTCTTTCTGTTTGGAAACTGTTGCTATGTGAGAGCTAATGTGTGTTCAGTGTCCCACAGCAGCAAACCACTGTGGCAAAAACTGCTGCAGTCCTTCTGTACCACTGGAATTTTGCACTTTAATTGAACTGTTATGATTCCAAGTGGAAGCGAAGAAAAAGCTGGAGGAGAGAAATCCAGCAGTACCAAAACTGGGAATTCAAGATGTATTTTGCTTTTCAGGTCAGAATGTGCTTTAGTCGTGATACCCTTGTGCTCACTTTTTGGGAAAATTGTGGTATCAAACTCCTTTGCCAGGTGGCTCTCCTTTAGCCTTTTAACTGGTTTGAGTTTGTTGTGGAATACATTAATACAGTTCTTGAGTTATGTTTTGACTTTCTCTTCTCTAACAATGTGTATTGATGTAAAAACAGTGGCAGGTCACCCCTTGCAAGCTTTTTATTTATTTATTTTAAACCACAGCCTGCCCTTACAAAGGTGGACATGGTTGTGATGTGGCCAGGGAAGAAAGGATGGCCATGAAGTCCAATGGCCATTGATTGTCCTGTTGCATGAAGTGGGAGCATACTGGGAGGTGCTAACTGGGGAAGGAGAGGGTTACTCTTCTCCTCTTATCTCTTGGGGCATTTCTGGTTTGTTTTACTCTATCTTGATCTTTCCCAGTACATAAGATTGGTTTCTTTTGTCTTTAGGGGCTGTATTTCTGGCCTTAATATTAAAAAGATTGGGCCAAATTTTTTGCTATTTACAAGTATGCAAAATTCCCTCACACAATGCAGGAGCAAAAAGGAGCTGTTTGTTTTATTGTGCATTTATTGTAGGTGGATAGGCCATGAGCAAATCACTGGAACTCCCATTACTTGCAAGACATATAAAGCTTAAGGCTGTGATTTTCAGAGGTTCCCAGGTAGCTGAGTGCCTGAGTGTTACTGAATTTCAAGGTTTTTCTGATGCTTGGAATCTAAACACCCATTTCCTCCTGTAAATCCAGTCCAAGAATAACAGTTACATTGCTTTGATGAGTAAAAGGGGAATGTATATTGTGAGTCAGAGAACAGCATGGAAGAAGTCAGTCTTTCTCCTGCAACGCAGTAAAGAACCTACCAAAATCCAAAGGAGTAGAAAAATCTTATGTTTTAGGAATTAGCATGCAAAGTCTACAGACACCCTCCCTGATGCTCAGAAAGCAGAAGTAGATGCATAAGAAGCTACAAGAATGAATTTTAAAAGATATTTCTTTTGGATAATAAGAGATTGCAATATTAATTGTATCTGTGGGGGGATTTATGATTCAGGATGAGAAGTTGAAGAAGCTTGTGGAGCAGAATGGCACAGAAGACTGGAAAGTCATTTCCAATTTCCTTCCTGTAAGTGGATATTGGTTTCTGTTTCCAGGCTTAGTAGCAACTCTTTATCAAGGGGTTTCCTTGATAAAGGGGAAGGGGAGTGGTTGCTTTATAGTTACATTTTCAGGGGAGATATAAAACTTCCACAAATGGAGACTTAGAAATTCAGTTGGATTACTGTGAAAACCCTTATATTTATTTTTCCTTGTACTTCTCAGAAAAGGTTGGAAAAAATCAAGCAAGCAAAAATGGGGGATGGTGAGGACTTGCACAGTAGGTGGTCAATAAGACAATGAAACAAAATGTCTCAGCACAGCAAAAAAAAAAAAACCAACACTTTGGTGAATTCTAAGTATGATTTTGAAGAAAATAGCTTTGTGTTTGGCTGTTGCTGAAATACTGCATGTGAAAGCATGCCAGATATTGTGCAGGTGGGGAAGATAAAATGTGTGTAGTTTTGGTGATGGAGTCCTCAATGCAGAAGTGATGGAAACCTTATCTGTTCTGTGAGAAAATTGCTAGCTGACCACCTTCTTCTCAGACTTACTGTATCACTTTGTGTTGTTTAGTAGTCTCAGCTGGTGGTGAAATACATTAAAACAAGTGTATGTAAATAAGAGCATTCTCACTCTACTTTGCTCTTTTCTAAAGAGTTGTCCACTTTGTGTATTTCACATTTCACTAGAATCGGACAGATGTTCAGTGCCAGCACCGATGGCAGAAGGTACTAAACCCAGAACTTATTAAAGGTCCATGGACTAAAGAGGAGGATCAAAGGGTAGGTAATCAGTTTTTCTTTCTGTTTGATTAATACCTTACAAGCAGATTTCAAGTGCTGCGGCAAAACTCCTGGAAACTTTGGTGGTCTCAACATTATTATGGCCAGAGGCAGATTGTATTTGTGTAGTACTTTCAAAGTTTGCTATGCAAATAAATTACTGTTGCTTTACAGCACTGTAATGTGGAATTGCAGCCTAGAAATGCCTTAACTATTACCAGATTTTTCCTTTTGGGTAAAAATATGAATGGGAAGTGGGGAACTTTAATTGCTGTAAGTTTTACTTTGGCAGTTTTGAGAAATGTTGTTGAAAATACTGCTTCACCACAGAAAATAATTTCATTGATTCATCATGCATCATTAAATACAGACAGTTTTTATGTCCTTCTTTGAAGGTAATAGAGCTCGTGCAGAAATACGGTCCAAAGCGCTGGTCTGTCATTGCTAAGCATTTGAAGGGAAGGATTGGAAAACAGTGCAGGGAGAGATGGCACAACCATTTGAATCCAGAAGTGAAGAAAACCTCCTGGACAGAAGAGGAAGATAGAATTATTTACCAGGCACACAAGAGACTGGGAAACAGATGGGCAGAGATTGCAAAGTTGCTGCCTGGACGGTAATGACATATGCTTTTAGCTCCTAAAAAAGGAAAAAGCTGCAGGTCTGAGTAGTCTGTTTTGGTTGCCTCAGGCTGCAATGTATAAATGGAAAAAAATTTTGGAATCAAAACCTGGGAAGCCAGTGACACCAGTGTGTGTTTTTCTCAGTGGGGAACTTCTCTGTTTGGTCAGTACACACAGCAGTGTGTTATTTTTACAGGCTTTTAATGTTTGCCATGGGTTAAAAAGCCAATAGCTGGAGCAAGACCATAACAGTTTCCCAAATGTCTATGCAGTCTTATTTGTGTCTGTGATGACTATCAAAATTTAAATCAATTTAACAGGGAAGGATCAGGCTCTGCAAGTGGAGCATAATTTACACTCAGCTAAGGGTATGCCTTCAACATGAAGTCCAGTCTGTTTATTCAAAATTATTTAAGAGAAGACTTATTCAACTTCTTTATTTGCTCTTGAACCATCCAGATGATTTTGACCTGTTAAAAAAACGTGTGTAAAAGAGGACAAACTTTCTTGTCAAACTCTGGTCTAGGAAATACTTGTCTCACTGAAACCTTTTGTACAGCTTGTATATAAACTCAAAGATTCAGTGTCTTACTGGCTTGATTAAAAGTGACTCAAAATGTGGGCAAGCAAATAATGTAAGCAAGGGAGAGGTTTCCCTTCCTACTTTTCTTCCTGCTACTTGATAGACCTAAATATAAGGCCTAAGATCATGATAGCCCTTAAAACAGTCATTCCCTGGGCTGCTTTTACCTTCTAGAAGATAACAAAGAAGGAATTAGCCCTTGGAAATATTTTTGTGGCTTCCACACATCAGATACTACTTTGAATGATAACATGCAGTGGTGATGTTTTTCAAATAGCAGAGCTGTTTTAAAGCATACTCTTTAAAATCTCACAGAGTTGGTAAGTTTGCTTTTCCTGACTCATATATGTGAGGATTTGAATCTCAGTTTTTCTGCATCTAAGAAAAATCCCAACAGTTTTGTTTACTGATTTTGTGTGTGCAGCATGTTGTTGTTGCTGTCAAGGTGACCAGCTGGAAAATTGCTTGGAAGTTAGTCTATTCACAACTGTTCTCCACAATCTTTCTTTCCAGCAATGAGACACAATAAGACTGCACTGAATTATTAAGATAAAGGAAGATGATGTTGGCATTCCTTTAGGATAACCTCAAAGGGATATTAGCCTTTGTTTTCTCCTCACTTCATGGGAATGAGGTGAAGATGAAATTAGTAATTTCTTACAATTTGAGGATGCAAGTCATGAGAGATTGCTTTAAAAAGTATGTAACCACCTGTAGCCCACTTTTCTTTTTCTCTAACTTTTATACTGAGCATCTTTCCTGAGACTAGCATTCTTGGAAATAGCATCTGTAGTGATGGGGGTAGAAGGAAGGTCAGAAAATTGCTCAGGATTTAAACAGAAATGTCAACAGGAGTTCCCTGCCCATTGACCTGTCTGAATTGGAAATGCTCATATTTGAACATCTGTATTTCTGTTGCAGAACTGATAATGCTATCAAGAACCACTGGAACTCCACCATGCGCCGGAAGGTTGAGCAGGAGGGCTACCTGCAGGAGTCCTCCAAAGCCTGCCATTCCTCAGCAGCTGCTGGATTTCAGAAGAACAACCACTTGATGGCCTTTGCTCACAACCCATCGCCACCCGCCCAGCTGCCGGTGGCCAGCCAGCCCCCGCTGAGCAGTGACTACCCCTACTACCACATCCCTGAGCCTCAGAACGTGAGTGCCTGAAAATGTCAGTGTAGGGGGGATGTTTGTTTTGCCTCATTGAACAGATGGGTCCAGTTTAGCTATGCCTGGTTTCAGCACGAAGGATCTTCTTCGTCTTGGTGGACTTGGATGTGTTTGATGTCAGATGAGGATTTCTTTGACTTGTACTTTGTTCAGTGGTGAAAATAAATACATTTCAAACTGGTGGGATTCAGGTGGTGGAACCAGGTACAGTGGTTTAATGTCTTGGGAGCAGTTAACATATACCTTAGAGTTGTGAATATTAAATTTCTTGAATATAACTTGAATCTCGTTAATTCTGTGTTCCATATCAAAATCTCCCACATTCTCTTTAGTAGTATTCTGTTTGTGGGTTGCCTGTCAGAACCAAGTGAACAAGTATTGTTTTTAATCAGATTTCTTTTCCATTAATGGTTAATAATGAAATAGGCTCCTGCTTCAGACAGTTGCATTGTAGAGTTTTACATGATAATAAATTGCGTCTTTTGCTATTTCACTTCAATTTAGAAAATCTTTACAAATGTGTCTGTAAATGATGCATCTTTTCTAGTTCAGAAAGGGTATATATTTCATATATTAATTTTTCTCTCTAATACTTCCTGTCATATTCCCAAAAACCTGGTTATTTTTCTTGTAAACATTATTATTTTTTTTTGCTATTTCATCTCCACAGACTAGAAATATTAAGTACCTAACATCAAAGTGTGTTTAATACAAATTAACAATTGCAAGCAGATAAAATGATGGAAATAATCGAGTTTTGCTTTTTGACCTAGGTTCCTGGTCAGATCCCGTATCCAGTAGCACTGCATGTAAATATTGTCAATGTACCTCAGCCAGCTGCTGCAGCTATCCAGGTAGATAACTTGAACCTTATTTCAAGAGTCAATTTCTTAAATATTTGATAAACTAAAATGCAGACATTGTACATTAAGGGAACATTTTAATGTATTAAGTGTGATGAAAAGAGAAAATGGGGAAGGTCGGGTGTGGTGTTGAATTTTAGTTAAATGGTATGCTCTGTCAGGGAATTCTAACATGGCTAATAATTGCTCCTTCTGAAGCGGATTTTAAATGCAGTAGTTGACATCTGGTGTGATGGCCTTCACTTTCTCCATTTCAAATGTCTGTACTGAAATTCAGCAGAGACTTTGGTAGTGAAAAACACAATTGACATTTGTTTCATCTTGGAATCTAATTTGGCTGTTATAACCACAGGTCGGCAAACCATGAGCATTTTAGTTGCTACATCCTATCAGACCTTTATCTTTTCTTTTCCCTTAACTCTTAATTTCAGAGACACTATAATGATGAAGACCCTGAGAAAGAAAAGCGAATAAAGGAATTAGAGTTGCTACTAATGTCGACTGAGAATGAACTGAAAGGGCAGCAGGCATTACCAGTAAGATTGTCACTGTGTGCTTGGATGGAGGGATAGCAGCCTTACCCCAGTGCTTGTCTTTTTAACTTTTTACTCCCCTTCTGCCTTCAGTACTAATCAAGGCTCTATATTTCCGTTTTTAAAGGATGAAACATAGCACATATGTAATTTGTATCTGCTTCGTAAATTCTTTTATGGAAAATAAAATCAAAAAAATTTGCATGTATATTACGTTGTAAAGTGGGAGCAGAATTGGGCTTCATAACTTGATGTAATATTGGAAACATGATGATTGTACAAAAGTTGAAAATCCTACAGACCTTTAAGCAATAACAGGATCTGTGTTTCTGAAAGTGTGCAATGCTTCATGTGATGAAAATGTAGTGCCTGTGCATTAGATTTTTCTTCTCTGTTGTATTCTTTCCTTCAGCTGTGTTTTATACACTTTGTAAGCTTCAGACTTGGTGCATGTTTGAGAATTTGATTTACTCCTCTGAATAATGTTAGATTCTTCATAACTGCATGTGTGGAGCAAGTGCTGGCTATTACTGAATTCTCATTGTATATGCCATTGGATGTTAATGTGTGAAAACCCTTGTGTAACTACTTAACACTGTCACCAAAGCCAAGAATCCGAAAATCATTTTTGAAGATAGGTGATAGCCAGCAGATTCTTTTTTTCTTTTTTTTTTTTGGGTAATATTTAAAAGAATAGTAAAAGAATTGCATGCATGATACGTTAGTTTGGCCACTTTTTAACTTTAGTTAATGTTTTGCAATTTCTTCTGTTGCATGATCACACTGGAAAGAAACTTCTGTTAATTTGTTCTTCTGCTTTCCTAACCACGTTGATTTGACAGCCCCTTCATTGCATTGGTGTAAGCTGTAGCATTAGACAGGGATAGCAGAAGAAAAGGAGATAACCAGACAAAAGCAACTCTAACTCTAAAACCTTTTAGCCTTCTACAGTGCTGAGCGCTCAGTAGGGAAATCCTGACGCCTCTTGCTTCTTACAGAAAAGGACTTGCAGACACTTTTTGAGCACTTGGAATAACGAAGTATGAATTGATTATGTGCTAGTAATGATATATGCCTATAATCCTGGAAGTAAATTATGAGGTAATTTTGGGATAACAAATACAATGCCAGTATTACTTAAAACAAGATCTTGCACTGATGAAAGGAAACATCTTGACAATTGTTTCATAGGCATAAGCTTTTAGATGATGATGCAACTACTTTTATCTTTCTTCCAGTGGCATCTGACACCTTGTGCAATTTCATTGCTAAGTTCCTTCTGCCTTTCCCCCCTCCCTTTTCTTCTTTTTTTTTTTCTTCTTCTTCCTTTAGACACAGAACCACACATCAAACTACCCCGGCTGGCACAGCACCACAATTGCTGACAGTACCAGGACCAGTGGTGACAGTGCACCTGTTTCCTGTTTGGGGGAGCATCACCACTGTACTCCATCTCCACCAGTGGATCACGGTTGCTTACCTGAGGAAAGTGCATCCCCTGCACGGTGCATGATTGTTCACCAGAGCAACATCCTGGATAATGTTAAGAATCTCTTAGAATTTGCTGAAACACTCCAGTTAATAGACTCCGTAAGTAGACTCTCTGCCTCAGGTGGCTTTGTGCATGGTCAAGGAGTAAGGGGTGAGGAGCTGGGATTGTCCTAAATGTGGTCGTTGATTTTTTTTTTCCCCCCGAGTAACTTCAAGTTGTTCTAGGATCTGAAACTTACTTTCTGACATGACAAAACGCAGCTGCTTGCAAACAAAGCCCTCAAGCATGGATGCATATGCTTTTTATGGGTGTCTCCCTTTCCTGCTACATCTTGGAATGGGAGTGTGAGTTTCAGCAAGTGCACAGTAGGAGCTTGAGACAATCTCTCAATTTTAAGTCTCTTTATAATACAATCAGAGATACCATGAAAAATTTTAAACAGTGCTTTGGATATTTATTGATATTTGAAGTGGTACATGCCATAGGTTTGGGTGTGGCTGCTCATGTATCTGCATCATTTTTTAGAATTTTTAGTTGTAGCCTCTATAGGTGCTTTTCAAAATTTAAGGGACTTTCCCTGACTTATGTGAAGGATTGTAAAGACACATCTAAATGTCAAGTATATGACTGACATTGACAAGGACCTCTTGTCATTGCAGTCTCTGGGATGCTACATGTAAAGAAGTAGTACATTGAATTACATTTTTTGGTGACAACCTCCTTCAGAAGCAGAGATGTCTGCTTCGTTTGGTATCATTTCCCTTTCAGCACATCCAGAGCAGCATTGCATGTTAGGAGGAGCTGGTCTTGGTCTACAGCACACATTTTTTTTGTAACAAAAGGCACCATCATCATACCAAGCAGAAAATACTGGGCAGGCAAATAATAAGGACATAATTTGACTCATTCGTTAGGGATTCAGTTGCCAGCAACACTATTAGGATGTCAGACAGTTTGATAAGATCAAGGTATGTATTGAAAACACAAATTGTGTTCACAGTGTTGCTGCTCCTATGAACAGGGTCAGGCTAAACTGAACTGGGAAAGTCTTTGTTGTTGTTGTTGGTTACAGACATATCCTAGCGCTGTATTTTCATGAGGTGGCACTATACACTGTCTTATAGCTCCGTGCCTCCCACGTTGTTTCAGGATCCTTCATCATGGGGTGATCTCAGCAGTTTTGAATTCTTTGAAGACACAGACACTCCGGCTAGCAGAGCTCCCTCAGGCAAAGTCGCTCAGCTTCAGCAAAGAGGGGGCAGTGCTTGTAGACCTCAAGGACAGCCCACCACAAATTTGAGCAAAGTCATGTTGAGTCAGGGCTCTCTTGGCTCACCAAAGACCTTATCTGCCTCACAGGGCAGTGCGGCTCCGTGGGTCCTTCTTCGCAAAAGGAGAGGGCACTGCAGCCCCTCAGCCAGTGGCCACGGTAGCACCTTGGTCCTAGCTGACGTCAGCAGCTCAACTCCTCCTAAGCGCTCCCCTGTCAAAAGCCTGCCCTTCTCTCCCTCGCAGGTAGATCAAGACTTCTGCACAGATGTTACTAATTCTCAAAAGTCACCCCACTCTTAACAATTTAGAAACTAATCCTTTGGAACAAATGACTAATTACCGTTGTGCTTGTTGATTTCATTCCGTGTTTGAATCTTCTCACTGCTCCTAGTCTTCACTGCTGAGTTTAGTTAATTAGCACGCTAACTGTTGATTCTTGTCTTTTAAATTCATCTGTGGGGCTTGTTTTTTTTGTGTTTTGGGGTTTTGCCTTTTTGGCTCTTTTTTGTTAGGGGAGTGTGACTCCTTGCTTTACTGTTGCTGCTAACTCCAACTACTAGAGTTCAACATTTCTGATCATCTGTGATACTTTCCATCTCTGTCCACTTACAGTATGATTCATTGACCTAGAAAACCCCAAACTGCATTTAAATAGCATTCAGGTTGTGAGACAAACTGACAACAACCAGAAAATTCAAATCACACTTGCCATCCTCTGCCCAGGCCATGAGAGTTGGAGTGGAATAGGAATGAGGAGGAAAATGGCCTGTTAAAATGGCCTGGCGTGCAGTTTGAAATTCCTGATGATGGTTGCTTTGTTTCACAGCTGTAGCACTATTTAAAAGTGTTTTGGATTTTTTGTTTGTTTGTGTTAGTTTCCTTTAGTCTTTGATGTCAAAGAAATACTATTTCATGAAGGATAGTAAAAGATTTCATGTAATGATTTCCCACTGTATTTCTCATTACTTATCAGCTATTTTAATCATATGTCATTTTTCCAGTGAAAGCCAGATTTTCTTACATGCCACATTTTTATAACGTGACAGAATCTAGAAGAACATTGAATTGTTGTCAGAATATAGGATACCACTATGCTCACAGGTTTGTAGACTAGAAATAGAAACAATATTTTAGATTACTAGGTAGAGCATATGCAAGAGCAATCTTCTCCAAACAAATAGTGCTGCCTCTTTTTCAGTCAGCCGTTTCCATTCCAAAGTATTCCACGCTCCCATCACAGGTGGCAGCTTTCATTTTATACTCTGAAAATGAAGAACTTTTTTTTGAGATAGGTGAAAGGAAATTTATTTTCCTGTCATCAACACTTTCACTGCCCTAATAGCCCCTAGATGCCCCATATAAATATTTGTGGAATTTAATCCTGTTTCCTGTGGGTTTGTTTTTGAAACATCCCTTGCTCATTTTCACCCAGTTTCTTGGGCACACTGCTCTTAATTAAAATTTATTTGGAGAAAATCCAAATCAGACTGTGAAAGTGGTGGAAAGTTTTTCTCATTGGAACAGAGTGCCATTTCCTTTAGAATTTCCCTTTCTAGCTTCCTGAGCCAAACCATTTTTTTCACAATGTAGTCAGGTACCCCACATACCCCTACTCACATCATAGGATCAGGAGAGTGACTCATGTCAGTCAGAAGAAAATAAATTATTTTTCCTTTGTTGAATAAAGTCAGCTTAAGAGGTCTGCCATGTAATCTGGACGTTCCTGTTAATTTTTTCTTTCCACATGTGCAGTTCTTAAACACCTCATCCAATCACGAAAACTTGAACCTGGACAACCCTGCACTTACCTCCACGCCGGTGTGTGGCCATAAGATGGCAGTTTCCACCCCGTTCCACAGGGACCAGACTTTCAAAGCTCAGAAGGAAAACCACGTGTAAGTCTGTTGTCTTGTCGAACTCACGAGGGTCCATGTCTTCACATTTGCATGCAACCAAAGTGCTGGGTCAGCATGTGCTTTAGGCTGCAAGGGGGTGGGTTTTGATTCACCTTTACTGAGAGGGTGGTGAGGCACTGGAGCAGGTTGGCCAGAGATGTTGTGAATGGTCTATCCCTGGATGAAGCCCTGGGCAACTTGATCTCGTGGAACGTGCGCCTGCCTGTGACTGGGTGTTTGGAACTAGATGATCTTCAAGAATTGTTCCAACCTAAACCATTCTATGATTTTGTGCTTCCTGCAGAGCTGTTCGTTCACACATTCAGATTTTTCTTAGTTGGGAGTAAAACTTGCACTTTATGACTATTGATGGGTTATCATACCATGCATATAGGTTCACCAGTTTTTAAAATAAAGCCATTACACCTTATCACAGTCAAATGGATGTTCTGCTGTAAAAGCAAAATGAATTATAGGATGGCAGGGAAATATTTTCCAAAGTCTTACAATAATGCCGTCTCTATGCATGCATTTCTGTAAAGAGCTAGTATTTCCAAGCATCTTCCTTTAAAGTTCCTCTCCTTCTTTTTAAAGTTTCAGGACTCCAGCAATCAAGAGGTCGATATTAGAAAGCTCTCCAAGAACACCCACTCCATTCAAAAACGCACTTGCAGCTCAGGAAATCAAATACGGTCCTTTGAAGATGCTGGTAAGAAGGAAACAATGATAAAAGTTGCTTTGATATTAGTGCAGAGGGATGTTCTGGGACTTGGATATAACGTTTCTTTCTTTCAGCCTCAAACTCCAACTCATCTGGTAGAAGATCTGCAGGATGTTATCAAGCAGGAGTCGGAGGAATCTGCAATAGTGGCTGGGCTACATGAAAGTGGACCCCCTTTGCTGAAGAAAATCAAACAAGAGGTAAATCTCAAACTTACCTGAGGCAATTTAATTCAGAACTCTTTGCTGAGAAACTTATAGCAATGCCTTTTCTATTAAATAGCTGTGTCTGTTTTTCTTTCATGTAAGCCCCAAGATCTTAGTGTCGGTTCCATATAGTACACTAAGCATGTCTAATTCATCTCCCATTGATTTCCATAGAAGTCTTTCTGCTGTTTTCAGCAGGGGTTTGCTTGGGCCGTTCTAATGCAGTTTTCATTTGAAACTTAAAAAGAAAAGAAAAATTAGACATGAATTTGGATTGAATCTTTCAAATATTGGTGAAAAGTATAGAAAAACCCCATGGGGACCAAGCTCCATGGAGTGACTTAGAAACCTGAACATTTGAGGACATTGCATTATATTACTTTGTCACTAAAGTTCTAAAAATACATTTATTCTCAATCCTTTCTAGGAGATTAAACTCCTGAATACTGACAGAGCACTGAGTGCAAGTATTCAAAGTTTTATTAGATGGAGGTTTTTGGAGAACCTTGAACTTTTTTCTTCTGCAAAGAGCAAGGCTGCTGTAAAAGATCTTACTGTAAACATGCATTATGCACCTCTGTGAAGAATATTTGTTCATTTTGTTAAGCAACTGACAGAAATCTCATGGTTAGTTATGTGGTGGTTGAATCGTGCCTTTTCTCCTTTCAGGTGGAGTCCCCAACAGATAAAGCTGGAAATTTTTTTTGCTCAAATCACTGGGAAGGAGAAAACCTGAACACTCAGCTCTTTACACCTGGCTCTACTATGGAAGATGTGCCAGTAAGTATAAGTTTTCATGCCATCAAAGGAATTCTTTGTTTGACATTTACATTCTTTGTTTTACATCTGTTCAATTCTTAAATGCAAGAGAAAGAGAATATTTTTTCTGTTTTTCTTCACTAGTAGGCTTTATTCCTTATTTCTGTGTCATTTTCATCTACTAAGCATAAAAAGCAAAATGCTACTCTTAATTATCACTCTGATACCTATAGAAGGTTTCAGAAGTTGCAGTCATTTTGCAGCCCACAGACTTTGAAGAACCTGCTCTTGGAGGATGCCTGCACCTGTGTGTAGAAATTACTAGATCATGGAGTTAAAAAGTGGTGAAAGAGAGAGAAACTCTTGTGGTTTTTGCAAAGGGACCTTGCACGAGCACAGTTCCCTCTGCATTGCCAGGACTCATGGACTATTCAGTTACTGTTACTCTTGAATTTGGGATTTTCACTGGAAAACCTTTGCACAGGGCAATGCTCCTGCAAAGCCAAGTCCCAGGGACACCAGGCTGAGGTCTGCTCCTCATCTGTGGCTGTGCCCAGTGTAGCAACTTCTGCACTCAGCCTGCATTTACTTACATGCATTCTAATTCAGGTTGTTCTCAAGAGTTGCTGAAAACCTTTTTCTTTTTTCTTTTCCTGTTCAGAATCTTCTTACCAGTTCCATTTTAAAGATGCCTGTGTCTGAAGATGATGATAGTTTTCACAAAACAGTTGCAGTACCTAGAAACAGGCCACTAGCTAGTCCTCTACAGGTAATTATTCTTTGATAAAAGTATCCTCTGTATATAAAAATACATATATGCATTATATGCATGCATATATATATATATATATATAAATATTTATATATATTGCTTTCTCACAGAGCAATTTTAAGTTTTGAGTGTGGAAGAATGAAATGTTCAGATGTGGCTGAGGATCTCACTTTGCCTGTGGAGCATGAGGGCACAGTGGCTGCAGCAGAACCAGGAAGCTAAACAGGGCAGAGCCCTGTCTGTGGGGTGTTGTAACTCAGCTGGGTGCAGTGTGGAATTGGTAGGACTAAGAATTAATGTGGACCAGAGGGTTTTTTCTATAGACTTCTTGTAGGTGGCACTGCTTTTGGAGATTTGAGTGGTGTGGTGGTGGCCAGAACTTGTAACTGGCCTTGGGGTGAAAAGAGAGACTCTAGCACTGCCTGGCTGGCACAGGTGTGGCCAGTATTGCCCATTCAGCCCAGCACCAGGATGGCTTTTTCCAGTGAAGGCTAAATGTGTAATTTTGTAATGTAAGTCAGATGTGAGGCTGGGGTTTATGTGTCTGTGCTTTTGCCAAGGATTAACAAACACAGACATTTGCTGCACTTTAAAACAGAGCTGTTGCACAGGGGCTGATCCAAAGCCCACCAAAGTCATTAGAAGCCAGTTTGGCAGCTCTTGTGTACTGCAGGTAAAACTCATGGTAAGTCATTCAGAAAACAAAACATAATTTCTGTATTTCCAAGGAAGATGACTAAGTGATTTTGTAGCCCTTCTCCACATGGGAGAAATAAAGGAAAGTGTCTCATTCCCCAGGGTGAGTCACTGTCAGGAAGGAAATTGCAACTCCATAGTTCCCGACTTTCAGGCAGTCCACATGGCTAATCCTTTCTTTCCTCCCTCTTTCTAGAATTTACATTAGGGATTATTTACAGTAGAAAGGAATAAATACAGGCTGGTTTTGATTAGGCATTTCTAGCCAGGCATTAAAAAAGGAGATAGTAAAACTTTACACACATCCCCATTTGGCACAGTTTGCCATGGAGTAGGCTTGTATTTTGTCCTGCAGAATCATTTGATGAAAAACATCTTTGGAGAGCAGGGCTAGGACTCCCCTTGGCATGGGGGCATCTGTAGGGGCCAAAGACTCACTCAGTGTTTATCTGCTCCTCCCTCATGAACTGTGTTTCTTGGCTGGACTGTGGTAGACAGCCAGGAGAAGGGTTTGCAGATTTGCCCCTGATTTAGTGCTGAATTCAGACCCACCTCATGGCAAAGGAGCTTGGGTCTCCAGCTTTGCAGGGGGTTGCTGGAGCTGCCAGTGGGTGTGTGGGAGGAGGCTGCTGGTCCCCACGAGCCCTACTGCATCCCAACACCTGCCTGTCAACCATGACCCCAGCCAAACTCTGGGCTCCTTCACAGATTTAGAGCAAGATTTTCAGGTAGCTAAGCATGGGCTGTGTGTTGTCCTATTAGTGGTAGTTTCCTGCACTCTGGCTGTAATAAAAAAGAAGGATCTGAGAGGTCTGTAAAATAGGATCTTTTGATCTTTGGTGTACCGGTGTTATGTTTCCTGCTATCTAAAAATATTTTCTTTACAAGCTGCTATAAACGAAAGGGCTTGTTTAACCTTCTGTCCTCACTCATGCTGATTTTGTTCAGGAAGTTTACATGAGTCAATTTGTGGATCATTCTGGATTCAATTGTTCAGTTCTTGCTTAGGAAAACCATGTTAAAAGTCAGGTGTGTTCATTGTTTGGATAAAGAGGACCTTCTCTTAAGTAGGAACTGAGTTAAAAAGGACTTCCCAACTCCTCTCAGTGTTTAAAGTGTGTTGAACTGAAAGAAAAAGTAGTTGTGAAAAGCCCCAAAATGAATAGTTAGTAGGCAGCTTCTTGGTTTACTAGTATGAAGGTAAAATTGTTCTCTCTGCTGGTGGAACAAGTAGTTGTGAAAAAGAAAAAGTAGTTGTGAAAAGCCCCAAAATGAATAGTTAGTAGACAGCTTCTTGGTTTACTAGTATGAAGGTAAAATTGTTCTCTCTGCTGGTGGAACACTGAGGTTTTCAGCTGAAATGTAATCTTAAATGAAGAATGATGCTTGAGGTTTCTGTGATGGTGGCACAGACAGCTTTTTCAGAATGAAATACAGACTTTTTATAACAATGCAGTATTGTCTGCCAATGGCTGCACTCCCTGGTTTGGATTTGGTATCATGGTTAAAACTAATGGTAAAGCTGCTTGGCTTCATGTCAGAGGGGAGGAGTGTGGCCCTGTGCAGCTCAGAAAGGATGTATAGTCTGGCTCTGTTTCACACCAGAAACTGCTGCTGCTCTGTCCCTAATGCTTCCCCTCCTCCACCTCAGTGTAAATGGCCTCCTATGACCTGGGCATAGCTTGTCTAAAGGGTGCAAAGCCATGGAAAACATTAGCCTTTGTTCTTGTCATTGTTTTTACTGTTTGCTTTTTGTACATGACCAGATTTTAGCACGTTACTGTCCTATGCTTTCTGCCCTTCCTGGTTTAGAGTTTGGTGTCTCACCCTCATACATGAACACATGCATGGACACAAACAAGTAACTGGACTAAATCCACTGATCCCATGAAAGCAGACAATAAGAATGAGGGAACTCATGTGGGTGAAATTTAATTGTGTCTGTGTATGTTGACATTGGTGCAGTTAATATTTTGGGCCTGATCCAAATGTTCTTACTTAGGCAAATTCTCATTGACTTCAGTCCAAGAAAGAATTACAGCAATCTCTGTGCCTTGGGATCTGTGCATGGAAAGGGAAGAGAGAAACAAAGGCAGCAATAAACTTAGGGGTTTTAATATGCTTGGTTCCTAAAATTCCATTTTCTTTTAAATTTGAACTTAGAAAAGAGGGAGGCAGTATATTTACCAGCCCACAGGTTTCCATTGCTTTAATAATTTGCACTGCATTTACACAAAGATATTTAGATAGGGATAAACTGATCAAAATCCTTGATTACTTATTGTCTTGCTGTTAAGTTCCAAAGAAGGCAAGAGTAGCAAATGTTCAAACCCATCTCTAATGATATTTTTTTACTGCATTTTGGATACCCAACTGATCACATGCCATTTAGTAAATAGCAGCTGATGACCATGTCAGATAGCACAATATGATTCATCATCACTTAGCAGGAACAGCATGTTGCATCATTTGGCATGTGAAGTTAGGTAGCTCCATGTAACACCACTGGAGTTTGGTGCTGTCCATGTTGTACAGAGCAAAGTGAGAAAAGAGCCACAGACCCAGGAAGAGTTTGGGCTTTATCCTCGTTCAATCCCCTGTTAAGTCTCCCTAAGACATAGGATGTAAAGGCAGTTTTGTCTAAGATCTTTCCGGCAAGGCGTGGAGGTTCCGCCAGCTCTTTTGTCCTATGTGTCCAATCTCATGGTTGAGCATGGAGTATTGTCAGACTGGCAGGAACAGGAACATCTCACCAAACCAACATGTTGCCTTGGGGTGGACTTACTCTCCATTGCATGGATCTCTAATATTTCTGCTTTGTATTCATGAGATGAGTTAAAACCTGTATTTTTGCACCCTATATTTTTGTCACTTAATTGCGTGTCAGGGAGATTTTGGTCTCTATAACATACTCCACTACCAAGACAAAAAGATGATCTGTACTGAGCATGTGCTCGAATTTTGCCTTGTAAGAGGTTACATAAAAACCCCTCTGTTTCTGGCCCTTCCTATGTAAAAGTTAAATTTTATTTCACATTATGTTCTGTAGCAGTACATAATTCAAACTATCCTAACACAGACATTTTAACAGATAGAAAAGTAGGCTAAATCACAGACCTTCCACCTAACCCTGCAGGCTATCAAAAGACACCATGAAATGGAGCCTTTTAAGAAAATAGCACTGCTTTGATATCTTCTTCCCCCAGTAACAAAGGAAACAACACAAGGTAGAAGCCCTGCAAGCTAAAGAGAATGTTCTTCAACCCCTAGCTCCTGTCACTTTCCATTTTTTTAACCACAGACTGACACATTTCAGCTTGAATTTCCTGACTTTCAGCGGTTTATGTAGCCATTTTCTTCAAAGAGTAAGTTTAAAGGATTTTAAAACAGTTACTTGGTTGACCTTTTTTCAAGTGTTTGAGCTGTCATGAAGCTTAATTTTCTCAGTTTAAAAAGTGAAATGTTGTTTTATTTGCAGCTGGTTGTAAGATAAAATGGCCAGGAGGGCAGCATGGTCTTCTCCAACAGCAGCAAGTTTTCTCTGTTTCTGCTCCATGGCTTTTTGAGGGAAAAAGGTCCTAAAATCTCATATTTTCCTTTGTTTAATCAAGGGAGAGGGGGAAGCATGCTGTGTTTGAGATTTGCACAGCAGGGGAAGGTAGCCCCAGAGGTTTCTCTCACTTGTGTTGCCCCTTCTGTCCCCAGTGAGTGATATACAGGAAAAAGATATGCTTGCCACAGCTGAGGGAGCCAGAGAAGGTTCAAAGTTACAGGCAGTCATTGCATGTTTTCCTCCCAGGTCAGCAGAATTTGGGTTGCAAACCGATTGGAAGTTACAGCTGCCCTGACTTGGCGATGGTCTCTCAAGAAGAAAAGTGACAGCTTAACTATTAGTCACATTTGCAGCAATATATTCTGATCTGTGGGAAAAAAAAAAAAAGATTACTGGAAAGAGGAAGAATATCCTAGTATGAGTTGCAGATGATTAGCCCACTTCCATATCTCATCCATTCATCTTACTTGGGAAGTTCATATATCTTAAGCAGGAGTTTTAGCTGAGCAAGAACTTCAGGGTTAAGCTCTTAAAAATGCCATCAATAGCTCTTTCTAGCTCTGGTATCATGCTTATAATAAAATCTGAAAGGTTAGACCATCTTATTCTTTCACATTTAGGAAGCTGTATTTCTGAGCAGCTCAGAAAGCCCCAGAGTTTAGAAGTCTGTCCTGTGCCCCAGAGGAAAGCCAGCAGCAGGGGTAGAAATAGTGGTCTGTCTTGTCAAATGAGATAAAAAATTAATTTATGGTCACTTTAGTTTTTAATTAGTCTTTACTGTCGTACCAGTTCTGCATCCTTACAGAATAGAAAGCCATATTACTCATATCCTGTCTATTGTATTCTGCTAGAAATTGTTTTGTTTAGTGCATTGTTTTACTGTTTCAGGAGTGCTGCATTTCTGTTGCAAGCCTTCTTTTCAGTGGCACATTCTGCAGGCAATCTATACCATGTAATCTAAGGGAAAGCTGACAAGAAATCCAGCTTTTGCAGCAGGGAAACACAATAAGAGACCTTCTAATAGTCTGAGCATTTAAAATGTTTTACATACAGTAGCTTTTTTTAAATACCAGCAAAGCTTGGCTAAATTAGTGGTAATGTTTGTAACACCACTAGCTTTGCTAGAGTTGCTGAAGCTACCTGCCAGCAGAGCAGAGATGTAAAAGGTGTCTTCTAACAGAGTTCTTTGCCCAAGGATTTCTACTGGACTTTGATCAGTTCAGGAGCTCGGCACTGCAGGACTGCAGCAGTGTTTGGTTTTGGCATTGGCTTCTAACACAAAAGGTGTTGTAACACAGGAGGTTTCTTAAGCTACAGAGACAGTACATGAAAAAGCAGTCTGGGCTACAAGAGCAGAATGACTAGTTCTGTAAGAAAAGCACCTTTCCATATTGTTTTCTTCCCTTACTCTGGTCTGTTTTCTCTAGATGGTCCAAGTTTTTATTTAAAGTGCTTTAACTGGATATCCCAGTTACGTCTTTGACAGTTTGTTTACAGTTCACATTTGCCTGAGGGCAGTTGAAGGCATATTACAGGATAAATAAAGTAGTTTTGCTGCCAGGAGAAGGATGTGCTGGTAGGATTGTTGAGGTTAAAAAAAAAAAAAAAAAAGGAGAGAGAATAAAAGAAAAGGGACAGGGAGAATGACATAGCTGGAATTGTACCCTGATCTGTAATTTAATCCTATGAGAACTTGTAGCACTATACTTTCTTTTCCCCCTCCACTCCTGATTTAACTTAAAGAGAGAAACTGCTGTGTTTGGAAGAGAAAAATACAGTGGAAGTAGTGGCTGAAATTGTTTAAACTCTTCTAATTGACAGCAAAATTAAGACTGGTCTCCTACCCTGTTAGGCAATGAAAAAATTGTGTATGTGGAAAGAATTTACACTGGAAATCACTTTCACTCCCCATTGGCTAGGAATTTAGGTGCCAAAACAAGCACCTCACTGACTGAAGTTAGGCTGGATGAATCCACTGGATTAATGAAAACATGTCCATCAATTTTGGTGAGGTATGGGTCAGACCTTCTGGCATCTGGTTACGAAGATCTTGTTTCCTTCCATTGATTTGCAGAGTTAGACTTGTAAGTGTGGTCAGGAGGATGCAATGAGCATTCTGCAACAGGAGTGTTTCTGTGCTGTTTTCCTGCATGCCTCTAGCTTTCTGCCTTGGGTCTCTTTGCTTCTGATACATGTGTTGGGTACTGCTGCCATGCTGGTGTGGAAGGAAGCATTGTGGCATTCCTTTTTACAAACAGATCCCATAGCTGTGTGTGACCAGGCCCAGCAAGGCACTCTGCCTGGGTTGTAGGACCCAGCACTCCCTGCCAAGGAGGGAAGGAAAACTGATCCCATCAGGATGACTTTCACACGTGCCTCTGGCACTGCGCTGCAGGGCTGGCAAGGCATTGTGCTTTGTTTTGTGTTGGCTGCCGAGAGTCAGGGCTTCAGACAGAAAATGTTTATTAAAAATACCCACTTAAATGTTATCTGAGTTCCCCAAGGGTAGAATGGAAAACTGTTAGTAAATATGCTGCATCAGAAAACATATTACTTTGGGTCCAATTCTTTCTTCACTGGAGCAGAGCTCTCACCATCATCACCCAGATGCAAAGTTAGCCTCTTGTTATAAATTTGTCACAATAGGGAGAAGGGAAAAAGTGTAAGTAGTGTAATTTACTGGGAAAAATAATACATGGATGAAAACTTTAATGTCCCTACAGCAAAGCTGAAGTTGTTTCAAGCAGGCTCAAGTGAGGGGTGGAGCTGGTCCTCCTTGCTTGCTGCCCAATGCTCCCTGGGGCAGCCAAGCCCAGTGGGAGGGCAAAGGGTTACTGCCTGCCTGAGCAGCTTCTGCCACACTGACATCAGGCTAAAGATGAAGACCAGGCTTTCCATGGAATGAGTGACATGTAGCAGCCTGCTGAGATGTTGGTGATACCAGGATACAGATTTTTTTTTCCTACTAAGCACATGGCTGTTAATACAAAGAGCTCAGTGTAGATACTAACAATGAAGCCTAATTTATGAAATAGGGACACTCCTTACCTGAAGTTACTTATAGTTTTCAGAAATTGACATACTGTGACAAATGAACTTTTCCTTACATATTTTCAGTTATTTAAGGTACTGCTGATCTCTAATTTCTAGACTGGTCCATTGAAGCTTTGGGGGATCACAGGGGGAAATACTGGTTTGACACATATTTCTGTCCTTGCAAATCATGGATATATGAGAACTATCAGCTGCTTTTGAGGTGTGCAGAAAAAAATCCAACTTCTAAGTAGAACCAATGGCTTTATACCAGGCATTAATTTGGTTCCTTATGCAAATACCTCTAAAACAGCAGGGGAAAATATGCACAGGTGCCTGAGTCTTGCTGAGGATCAATAGGGAGTTGTAGGTTCCCAGCTTGTGTAGGTGCCTTTGAAAAAGTTACACTAGAAGTTGTTTAACCAAAACATGAAAGGAGCTGTGGTGTGTTGCATGAGGGTCTGTGGCACGCAGAAAGTGTGTCACATCTGCTTTCTGGCATATGCCCACAGCTGAGCCACAGCACAAGGTCCACAGCTCTAGAAAAGAGGTGTATGGCATGTCTGTTCACTTCACAGATGCAGCTTTCCCACAAAAACTGCAGAAATATAATGATTTGAGGTCTGACCTGGTTCTCCTTCAGAAAGGGAACTCCTGCTGAAGTTCAGCAGTTTTGCTTGCAAAATGGCATCCAGGAGAAGAGGCAGCATTTGGAACTTCCTTACAGAGAAGAGAAAGCTATGTCTAGGGAAGCCCAGCAGAAATTTGCAGAAGACTAGCACACTTGTTTAGTTATTCACTGGGTTTGTCCCTTTCAGACTTTAAGCCCTCCAAGGCAGGAACCTCGGTCCCTTGTGTTTGTAGTAGTACCCTGATTAGGGCATGTTACATGAAATTATCTGTATTTCATAGTTGCCCAGCCTTTTACTATCTGTATGTGTCAGATAACACTGTTTGCAGTCAGAATAGCATTCTGTAAGTATTTAGGCCAGAGAATAATTTAAGGATCCTCTTGCAAAGTTAGCAACTAGAAGTTGGCAGAAAGAGCCATGGGCATGCCAGGACAGTTCTGCAGATGCTTTGCAGTCCACTAATTATGATTCATCCAGTGTCCTAGAGGTTGGGAAAGCTTTGGACGTCTCTTTGAGCAATGTAGTTATTGTACTGCAAAGATGATCCTATTCAAATGCAATGGAGAACTGAGAAGGGTTTCTCTTGACTTGTCTTTACTGGTGAATCCTGAGCATGCACCCTCTCAGTATTCAGCAGTGCTGGGATCCCCTTGTGGAAAGATAAGCACAATTGTGTGCAGTTTTGGAATGTAGACTATTTGTACAGTTAACTGTGTGATAATAGAGGTTTTATTCAGGTCTTAGAGAAAGTTTCAGTGTGGAAAAGCAGACACACTGGCTAAGTGAGAGAGTTCAATAGAAAAAAATAAAAGTGTGTATCCTGGTAAATTCCAGGAGCTTTGAAATTTCATTGCTGTTTATAGCTCAAGGCAATGAGAAATGTCTCACATGTGTAGTGAGTAAATAAATACAGCACACACAGCCCTCTGCAGATAGGTTTATCTCATTTTAGCATTATACTAAATGGTGTCTGCAACCTCCATAAATACCACAAGAAGTGAAATGGCTTACACGATAATTAAAAAGCTGTTTCTGCCGAGAGTCGAGCCCCCCTCCCTCCTCCTTTGCCAGAGGAGCCGAGTTGCTGGGCGGGTGCTGATCGCTCACACAGGTGAAAGCAGCTTGGAGCGCGGGAATCCTCGGCAGCACTGGGCAGGCTGCCGAGGTTGTCAGGTCCCCTTAGGGAGCTCTGGGACACAGCAGCTGCATTTTTAGAATGTAGGTTCAGCAGGAATTTGTTCATGGTCGTAACATTGAATATTTTAACTGTGAATATTTTAACTGTGCGCTGTAGCCTGTCTGTGCTCTGTTGACCATAAAGTTGGCCTGCTAAGTACATTTTAATTTAGACCTTCTTAAAGGATTAAAGGCAAGGCTTGTAGCTATGGCCTTATAGAAAAGACACTGTCAGAGAGAAGCAGGAAAATTTGGATCTCCTGTGGTGTCCCCTCTGCAGATCATCTGGTCTATCTGCCCCTGTGGTCAATACTGAGAAGTCAGGGTGACATGTTTTTGCCTGTTGTGTTGAGATTTCAATTTCTCAGGGGACAGGACAACTATGGATAAATCACACAGCACTCAAACTAAATCTCTCTCTCTGCTAATTTAGCATCTGAACAACACCTGGGAGTCGGCGTCCTGCGGGAAGATTGAGGATCAGATGGCTCTGGCAGATCAGGCACGCAAATACATGGCCACCTTCCCCACACGGACTCTGGTGATGTGAAAGGGTCGACACACAGAGAAGCATTATGGTTTTGAGAACACTTCACCTCCACTGGGAAATTCCTGTTCCTCTGCATGAGAACTTTTCATGAATGGGAGAAGAGCCTATCTTTGTTGTGGTACAACAGTTGGGAGCAGCACAAAGTGCATTTAGTCACTCAGCATATATATTCTTGTTGGATTTCACCCAACTTAAGAGTTTTTGTTTTTTTAATGATACTTGCCTAAATTATTAGGTATTGAGTTTGAATCGGTAATTAATAATCTTAAGTGCAGTCTTATAATAAAGGTAATTTTTCTTGTACTTTTTGAGATCAAACAGACTTAATACACCAGTATTGTTATTTCAGTGATGTGCTAGTTAGGGGTGGGGTTTAGTTTGTTTCTTTTTTTACTTTGTTTTTTAATAATAAAAGAGCAGGTACTCACACAGATATATTTTAAATCACTGAACAAAATGAATTGGTGTAAAATACCGAAGTGAAAAGCATTACTACAAACGCTTGTCTGTGTAAAAGGGGAAAGCTGATCAAGATCGTGAATGCTCAAACATCCATGCCTCTTGAAATACTCCTTTCTGTTTTGGTTCTAGGCCATTATACATTGTGTGTTTCTGTTGGGGGGGTAATTAGCTTGCTTTAAAAGATATTACTGTATGAAACATAGATTTATGAGAAAAAAATATATTTTTATTCAGTAATTTAATTTTGTAAATGCCAAATGAATACTGTGTTTTGCTGCTACAGACCTTAGCGTGTAGACATGCTGCTAGTGTAAAAGGAGCAGTAGAGCTTTATATGGAAAAAAACAAATGTTGATGTTAGCTAATTGACTATGCACTAGCATTTCAGACCTTTTTGTTTTAATTTTTTTACATCATTTATATTTTTCCCCTTTTTTATAAGCAATATTTTTGAACACTGTTCTTGGGAGATTTTTATTTGTGTGGATGTGTTGTTTTGTTTCTCATTGGTTTGTAACAGCATGCATTGCACCTTCATATGTTTGGGAGAACACTGTCTTGTTCATGTTGTCTCTTTTGTTCCATGTCTAGCTAGTTGTTCCCTAACTTGGGTCTTGTGTACTGAATCAGGTTCTTAGAAATACATGGTTCTTTGTAGTGCCATATCAGATCTTTATTGATATGGCAAAACACTGATTTTATTTTATTTTTTTTTTTTTTTTGTGTTTTTATAACAGCCTCTGACTTTGCTGCCTTAATAGCATTTGGTGCAACTTTATCTGCACTTAATTTTTTTATACAGCAATGTACTGCCTTGTAGATAAATAAAGTGTGTTCTTTTTTACTTAAACCTGCATGGCCTCCTAATCTTGTTTGTCTTCAGTTTTTTGGCGGTAGTGTTAAAGGCAACAATCAAGCCAAGAAGGTTTTTCCCAGCCAACTTAGATAAGCAAGGAATAGAGTTTTGCAGACCATAGCCTCAAAATCCTCGGTTCTCATCGATTGTTAAGGAAGTGGAAGGAACACTGCACAAAACAGCGAGTACTGAGCATGTTGTGGTCTCAGGGCACATCTCTATTGACATCGAAGTCCAGGTCAGCTTCAGTCAGTGGGAGAGTCACTGCACCTTTTGTGCAAAACTGCCCTCATCCCACAGTGCTGGCTAATTTATTTTTTCATCTAAGGACAACCAGGTCAGAAACCAATTGAATAAGAAAAAAATATTCTGGAGTTCTTGTAAGTGTAGAACAGGTTTTTTTCATGCTTGTTTTAAGAAAACAGAGGTGAGAGTATACTTTGAAATCCTGGTGCATTGTGCTTCACAGCAAATAATTGGAGAGACCTGCAAGAGCCTCACACAGCTAACATGCTGAGGGTCTTTCAGCCCTAGCAAAGCTAGAGATAAAAGCAATTCCTGACAAAACAAACAAACAAATAAAAGGCATCCTGTCAGAAAAAAAAAAAAAAAAGCATTTTATTGAGCAGCTTGAAAATAAATTGCAGAAAGGTAAGTTGATGCAAGTGCTTCAAAGTCATACTGATATTCGTGAGAGCAGACTTCAGCTCCACGATGGAAGAGTAGCCATGTGTGTGCTGAGCCCCAGAGGTGCCTTCCAGCCCTTTCTGCTCCTTCCCCAGCACCTGCCTATCCCTCCCAGCTGCAGCCACACAAGCTGGCCCTCAAACCATGCAGTGCAGAGAAAAGGAGGAGCCAAAAGGCCTTTTCCACCCTCTGCACAGCTCCCTGCTCGTGTGCTTTTGGCTCCCACCGTGAGACGGGACTGTGGTTGCAGCAGCCCCGTCCAAGTGTTCAGTGTGTTTCACATCCATCCCCCGTGCAGCCTGGGCTCAGCCTGTGCCGGGGCCGCTCCGGAGGGTCACCGCGGGCAGGACCCCGGGCCAGGCCTGGGTCACGGAGAAGGGGAAGCGTGCGGGAGCCCGGCCTGTGCCAGAGCTGCCGGCTCGCGCCTCAGACCGCTTGTGCAAGATGTGGGAGCCCTGCGGGACTCCCTGGGGACTGGGAAAGGCCTGCCACACAGCTTAGGCAATGCTAAAAAGGAAAAAGAAAGGCCAAGCCTACAACAGGGCTTCAAGGCAAAACTCCTGCCTTGTATGGCTCCAGTGGTAGCTGCACAGATCCTGGCTGAGTTTAAACAGACCATTATCCCAGTGCTGGGAACCATGGAAGCTCAGCCTGCAGGTGCCCAGAAAAAGGAGTGGGCTTTTTTTCCCCTACACCCTCAGTTGCTTTAAAATCCATTTTAAACATGTAAAACTATAACAATAATTGTCTTCTTGATGGGCACACTTAGAGCTAATACAGAGGAAAACTTTTATTTGTTTATTTTCCCCATTTCTCATTTCACTGAAAATGCAAAACACTCAGTAGTTCAGGCTGATTTGCATTTGTTTCTGCACACATGTGGTGCCCAGCATGGGTGAAGGAGGAGGCTTTCTTTGGATGCTAGACCCAGGAAGCTGATTATTTTCCCTCCACCAATAGTGACTGCATTTCCCTAGCAGCAAAGTGCCACCTCCTACACGCCTTTCTCGCACAAATGTCCCTGTGTGACCCTGCTCTTCTCACTGCTTGAAACACACATCTTTCAGAGGCCCAAGAGGAGTTCCACCTCTCTGGAAAATTCCATCTTGAATTCCATCAGGTCAGGCAAGAGCTGTCCTGAGACGGGTCTGTGTAAATGGTCTTGGTGACAGCAACCTGTCCTAGAAGTGGCTCTTTGCACGGGTGTATGGCCATCCTGGACACATTTAAGCCTGGAGTAACCTACCAAAATGAAAGGAAAGCAGGTTCAGTCAAGTTCTCATTTAATGGAGAGTAGATATTTGGCTCAAATTCCTATTAACCTCTTTGTCCTCTGTAATTATAAATTAATAATGTTGTCAGTGGGAATTCTTTTGATTTCTGAAAAGAATTTAGATTATCATTTCAGCATGTGCTACTAATTAGAAATGAAGAGGCAAAGGAACCGGGGCGAAAACAAAAGTAAAGTACCTGAGTGTGAGGTGTTTCCCAGCTAATTCCCTGTCATTCTTCAGCCTTCTGTGCAGGGAATACAGGGGCTTCAGCTCCCACTGGTCTGACCCATGTGACATCTGTAAGCCTAAACTGTAAAAGGGCCAGAGGTTGAAGTTTTGGGAAAAAAAATTAGAGCTTGAATGAAAGAGTCAGACTTTGTAGTTAGCAGCCAAAATAAATCTGATGGTAAAGCAGAGAGCAAGTACAGCATTGACTATTCTGTAGCATAGAGTGATCCTTCAAAAAAGCCAGCTTTTTTTTCTCTGTTTTTGTAATCTTGATCCATGCCAGCTAAGTCAATGGCAATCACCCCTCCCTCAAGCCCACACAGGCAGGCACACAGGCTAAGGGTGTTTCTATAGCATTGTGATGGGGACATCATAACCATAACCTCCTCTTACTCCTGCCACATTTAATTTTATTTCTACCTCATTCCTGATCTGAGACAGGTGTGATGGCAAAGCACAAAATAAAATACTTGTTCCTAGAAATCTATTTAAAATGTGTTGAGGTTTTGTTTTGTTTTGTTTTGTTTTGGTTTGGTTTGGTTTTTTTGTGTGTTTGTTTTTGTTTTTTGTTTTCTGTGTTTAATAAGCATGTTAAAATATTTCAATTTGGGAAAGAATGGTTTTGAGGCACTGGTCTGCATTTTGCCTGTGTCCTTGTTTCCTAGCACAGGTGGAGTCAGTCATGGGAGCAGACGTTGCTCAGGAGCAATGGTGGAGTTCTGCCTGGGTGGCCAAGGAAAGACACTGGTCACGTCCTTCAATCTCCAGTCTAATGTCTTAATTCAAAAGGAAGTCATGCTTCCTGACCAAATGCACTTGTTCCCTTTGTTTGCCTCTTTGCTTTGAACGTGACTTTGATGTTTCAGTGGTTTTCACTGAAGACCCCGCTACCAGCATAAACTTGTTTGTGACTTTTTTGCTGTCAGTGACTGCTGGAGGTGAGATAATGAAGATATACCAGAAAGGTCCAAATTTCGCCTTCAGCTGTGTTTGCAAGTTGGCAGTGGTTAAACAGCTCATTGTTAAGGGCTGCAAAATGTATTCACTCTACTATTATTTTTCCATAAATTATTGATGATCGGGTTGTTGAGTTTGTTTATGTTTTTTATAATCCCTCTTGATACATGACATTTCTAGAAGGCATTTTTCCAGTTCATTTGGGTATCAGAATGATTGTTGAATTTTCAGTTGTTTTGTAAAAGAGCCTCCACTTCTCAGACTGCACAAATCCACATTTACAGCCTAGCTCGACTCACAGCCAAGGAAATTTCTTTTCATGGGGAAAACAACTTTTACCCCTTGATTCAATCACTACTCATCACCACAGCTCCAAGACGCGCTCTGTGCACACATCTGTCAGAGAAACGAAGAAGACGAAGAAGAAAGTTTCAGGAAGCTGTCCCCAGACAGGTTTCTACACTAACCATAGAGACCACCTCTGCATCTCCCGGTTCCTGCCAGCCCAGCTGCAAGCCTGCCGTGGCCCTCCCGAT